TCAATGATTAACTACATTTCTAATATTGGACTGTTTGTGTTAGCACTTCGGATGGCTACCGTATGCTTTAATGCGAGTGTATGATAGATATGCTGAGACAGCAGTCTGTCAATCTTTCCACAAGGGACTGTAATAAACATTATGTGTGCTTTTCGTTGGCACAGGAGCGGAGCAAAGATGGGGTGACCCGTTTGCTATGAAGCTGAAACTAAGACTTCCAGACTACCATACAAAACAGAATGCAAAAAAAAAAAAAAAAAAAAGATCGGAATAACTTTGTAGGCTGAATAAAATTAGTGGCGCTAGGAAAGTTATAATTTGCATAGGGATGCTGAGTGAATTGATAGATAAGGTAGTGTCAAAAATGGATAAAATAGACCTCATCTTAAATAATGGGAAAATAGAAGTACTAGTGATTTTCAAAAAGACAATACTGTCATTATGTATAATAAAAGTCAAAGGCGTTTTTTTAAGACAAGTACATAAATTTAAGTATTTAGGTTCACGTATAACAGCATATGGAAGATGTATCACGGAGATAAAGAACATAATAGGACAGGCCAAACTGTCTTTTATAAAACAAAACACATTTTGTGTAATAAATCCGTGATTTTTGAGGTTAGGAGAAGAATTTATATACAGGCAGTTTTAAAATACGCCTGTGAATCCGGGATAATAAATAAACAAGCCGAACAATATCTCAAGACCTCGGAGATGTCGTTTGATCCAAACACAACAATCCTTAGAATTCATTAGACAGCTAAGAAGAGCAACCCAGATGTCTTGAAAAAGGAGATTGCTCGAAGACAAATTATAAACATCAAAAAGAGACAATCATCATTGTCTGGCCATGTTACAATAAGAGAGGAAACTGGTAGATGTAATAACCACAGGAAAAATGTGTCGAAAGAGAGAATAAGGAAGACATAGCGTGAAGATTCTTGACAGTTTTTTTCCCCATGGCATGCAAGGGTGTCAACACACGAACTGATACATACAGTTGCGGATCACAGATTATGGAGAGGCATGATTGCCTACGCCAGTCGACAAGGCACTTGATGGTAATTACGATGATAATGAGACTAAGTGAAAAAATATACAGTTACGAAAAAATATTTTTGCATATTTTATAGATTACTAGATTAAAAAGCCTGACTTTGCCCAGGATAGTGAAAGAAAGTCTTATTCTTCTGTCCTCTACCCCAGCTTGGTCTCCCCCTCTGCCCTATATGTAGGATCAGTGGAAATAGGGGTCTAACTAAAATCCTATGTTTAATATCCTGTCTTCTAGTTCATCTGTGTTGCCACCGCTGCCGTATCTTTAGTCATTGCCCCCAAGTGCACCCGAGGCATCCACCGTAATACTATAACCAGTATTTAACCATTTGGGAATCAGACACGTATAAGTATGTGGTTCAAGGAATTTAACAGCAAAACAATTCTTTTTAAATTACCCTTACAAAAAAAAAAAAAAAAAGTAATAAGGAAGACATCTTCAAATGGGTATAGCTCCAGTGAAAGTTTACTTTTAATGATTGTCGCATAAACAAAAAACAAAGAAATGCACAATTACCTGGCCGCCAATGTGACTGTTAAAGTAAATATTGTTATCATATTGGCAAACGAAACATTAACTCGTGTAATGGTAACAGTTTCGAAGGAGTTAACTCGTCATTAATAATAAACACACGAAACTCAGAAAGGGTTTGTGGTTTATAGTATAGATAAAAAGGCCTTTAATAAGTTGCAGCATGAAACGCGCAATATACATATCCCAAAATGGGATGCAATTTTTCTTTGTTTTAAAACCCCACCGCTGCTGTAGTCAGAGCCCTAATATAAACTAAATTTTGAACGGGATATCTGGGACTTGTGCCTGGGTGATCCTCATCTGAATGGGTGGACTTTGTGTGACAAGGTATTGGTAGCTCTTTGTACTTCTTCTTCTTCACTTCCTCTTTTACCGCTGTGGGTGTCGAGGGAGATATAAGGTTCTGTTTCTAGCTCTTCTGGTTGCCTCGACCATAGGCACATCGTGCTGTTGTAGAGTTTCTCTGATGTTATCCTTCCATCTTGTTCTTGGTCTACCCCGTGCTCTACGTCCTTCTTCTCTTTCCATGTATGCTTTGTATGATATGGTGTCACAAGGCATTCTCTCTAAGTGGGCAAACCATTTCACTTGCTGTCTTTGTATGTAATCCAGAATTGGTTCTGTGCCGACTTGTTCTCTTAAGATCTCATTTCTGATCTTATCTCTTATGGTCACTCCTACAGCCCTTCTCAGACATCTCATTTCCGTGGTTACTAATTTTCTTTTATGGTTTGTTGTGAGTGACCATGTCTGGCACTGGTAGCACAGAGTTGGAATAAATATGCTTTGAATAAGATGTCTCTTTGTGCTGATTGGGATTGTCTTATGCTGTAAGAGGGGGGCTAGCTGTCCCAATACTTGGTTTGCTTTACTGCATCTAATGTCAATTTCTTTATCCAATTTCCCATCTTCGGTAAATGTAGTTCCCAGATATTTAAACTCAGCTGCCTGTTTAATGCCTTTGTATTCTATTGTTATGTTTAGATCTGTCTTATTTTTTCCTATTGACATTACTTCTGTCTTTTCAGTGTTGATTCTCATATTATTTGTTTTACATTCTTCATTCATGGATGTTAGATGTTGTTGCAATTTCATGGCTGTATCTGCTATCAAAGCCTGGTCATCTGCAAAGAGTAACTCGTTGATCTTACTAAGATCTTCATTCATGGGCTTGGCATTCTTGCATATACTGTCGATGTAGGTGATAAACAGCAGTGGTGATAAGACACACCCCTGTCTTACTCCAGATGTCACTGTGAAAGGATGAGATGTTCCCTGATTTATTCTAACTACACTTCTACAATCCCTGTATAAACTTTTGCACACTTCGATGAGGTGTTCGCTTACTCCATATCTTGCCATTATTTTCCATAATAATTGTCTGTCGACTCTGTCAGATGCCTTCTCCTGGTCTACGAATGCCACAAATAAGTTCTTATTGTATTCAATGTTCTTTTCTACTAACTGTTTAAGTGTGAAGATTGCATCTGTGCAGCTTCTATTTCTCCTAAATCCCATCTGTTCTTCTGCCAGCTGTGGTTCTATCACTGGTCTCAGTCTTGTTTCTATTATCTTGGCATACATTTTGCCAACATGGCTTAAAAGAGAGATGCCTCGATATTGACCGCATTCTCGTTTGCTTCCTTTGTTCTTCACAAATGGTATAACTATTGCATGTTGCCAATCAATAGGGGCCGTTTGTTGTACCCATGCTGCATTGAATATTCTGTGAAGCCATCTGATGCTGCTTTCACCTGTTGCTTGAATTATTTCTGTTGGTAATCTATCAGCTCCTGGTGCTTTATATTTGGGAGACTGTTTAATGACTTTTTCTATTTCATCCATTAGTATGTGTGGTTCTAACACTGTTGCTCTGTGCTCTTCAGTTGTTCTTTCCTGATGATCTCCTAGAGGATTAAAGAGCTCATTGAAGTATTCCCTCCATCTTTCTGCAATCTCGGGTGGATCTATCAGTGGCTTTCCTGTCTTATCATTAATTATTTCAGTGGGGTTGTAGCTCTCATCTCTTTTCCGCATATTTTTAACCACTTTGAAAAATTTTCTGCTGGCTGTTTTCTCATTTTCTGCTAGTGACTCACCGAAACGTTCCCAGGATGCTTGTTTTGCTTTCTTGACACTCCTGTTGGTTTCTCTCCTTTGCAGTCTATAGTTTATATAATCTTCTTCTTTCTTTGATTTTATCCACTGTTTATTAAGTCTTTTTTCTTTTTAATTGCTTCTTTTACTTCTTCGCACCACCAAGGTGAATATTTGTTATTTCCCCGTCTGTTTCCACTCTTCCGTTTTCCACATAATTCTTCTGCAATACTAAGCATAGTGTTTTTATATATACTCCATTCTTCCTCAATATTGCCAACTACATGTGGAAGTTGTTTGAATGCTGTCTCTACTTTCTGTTGTAACTGTTCTTTTACTCCTTCCTGTTTCAGATTTGCTATCTTGATGAGATCCTTGTTTTTGTTTAATTTCTTTCTGTGTTTCTTTAATGTAAGATGTTTTGCTGTTAACACAACTATTTTATGGTCAGTGTCACATAGACCATTAGGGATTGCTCTTGAATCAAGAATTCTCCTTCTTCCTTGAACTCTGGTAAGTATAAAGTCAATCTGGCTCTTGATGGAGATGTCATTCCATTTGTACCAAGTGTAAAGTTGTGAATCTCTATGGTCAAAGAATGTGTTCGCAATAAAAAGATTGTGCTGGCTGCATAGATCCAATATTCTTTGACCATTTCCCTCAACTTTCTTTATCTCATCAGACAGATCGTCAAAGAATTAATCTTTCTGCTCTTCTGTATAATTATCATTGCATATCTGTATAAATGTTTCAGCTTGTTCTCCTCTTTTAATTTTCAAAGTAATAATTCTATCTGAGTGATTTTAAATCTTCATTGACTAAGTCCATGACACATCCATAAGCTGTCACGGGAAAGATGCCTGATCTGAAACATTTTTAATAACTCGCTTGCCCCTATCCACACCTTCGAGCGTATTGAGCATATAGTGCTAGATCTATATATTTTATAGACCAATCGGCACTGGGTGGGTGATGAGGTCGACACCACGCCGGCCGCCTTTACTTCCCATGACGTTGCCTGGTATTCATTTATGGCAGAGAGTCGAGGTCAGTTAAAACAAAATGTTGGCTCCGTTCAGAACTCAACAATTATTTCGTTTATTTTACTGATTCGTTTTATCTATTTACCCGCGTTTACTGTGTAAACCAATATTTCAGTGGACACAATTTTCAGCTGTAACCAATGAAAACACATGTCTCATCTTTGTTGATATCTTGTCTGGCGTGTTGATCTTGTAGGACAATGATCGTCAAGTTCACAATTAAGTTTTAATTTCACTGGTATCCAAACGTGCGAGCGATTTATTTTTTTATGAATATGAGGTTATCGGTAAAGCTAAACACGGTTAAACGCATTGTGTGTGGTATCTCAGGCGGAGTCGACAGTGCTGTTTCTGCACTTCTTCTGAAGCGAAAAGGTGCTTTTTTTCCCCCCTTTCTGATCTTAGTCTAACAACAACAGATTTCAAATTAGTTTTTAGAACTCGTTAAGTTCTTCTATTCTAAGCAGAGTAACAAACTCAGCTACAGATACAATGAAAAAAAAAATGAGTTAATATTAATAACTGAACTGACTGCTATGCAGACTAAGAATAGCTGCAATTTTGGTACTTTCCTGCAGTCATTACTTTCTCAGACGCTGGCTGATGATCAAGTATAATTATATATTATAGTCGAGTCCACTTAACTTAAGTCGAACTCGGATAAGTCGAATTTCGGTTAGATCGACATGACCAGCTTAGTCCCGGCAATTTTCTCTATTGTCTGTGCTGTCTGGATAAGTAGAAGTCCTGATGAGTGGAAGCATTTTCTTAAGTCCCTGCAGCTTCAGCTTCTACTTATCTAGACTCCACTGTATTAATATTATAAAATGAGCTATCCTCCAAATAACGGTCCAAAATTATCGAGGCGGAAAATATACCCTAACAGAGCCTCAGTCACGTGTAAATTGCGCACTTCCGGGGACTATACCGCCACCGCCGAGAGGATCCCCCATGCGAGCTAATAAAATGAAGGGAGCTGCAACAGATGCGGTAGCTGTTGCTTGTGAGTCACAGCCATCTAGTTAAGCCCCAATCCACGCCGGGTGAGCGGCATGGGGGATACTCTCAGCGGTGGCGGAAGTCGCCGGTAGTGCGCAATTTAAGTCGCAGGAAGTTCGTAATTGACACGAGACTGAGGCTCTGTTAGGGTATATTTTCTGCCTCGATAATTTGGGACCGTTATTTGGAAGATAGCCTAAAATGTAATTTATATTTTGCTGATAGGGAGGCATATGAACACAGCCCATGGCATCACAATGGACAGCATTTGACTAACAAACCCAATTTTTGACTAATAAACCGAATATTTGACTAACAAACCCAATTTTTGACTAATAAACCGAATATTTGACCAACAAACCCAATGTTTGACTAATTAATATACCGAATATATGATAAACAAACCCTGCTCTCATTTATGTTCATCGTCATTGTGTTTTGTTTATTCTCTCAAACACCCAGGGGCCAGTTGTTGAATTTTTCCTGTGGTCATTTTCTGGGTTGCCATAATTCCCCTCCATGCAGACAAATTCCACAATTAAATGTCGTTCATAAGTGATGAAGACCACTTAACATCCATAAAGTTGTACTAGTAATGATCAAAGATTGGGAGTACAAAGATAATTACTGAGTCCAGTTTGAGCCTGGAGACTTTTTTAATAGTGCAGACTGCAGATGGATGCCACAGCAGAGGCAGAATTTGTCACATTCACACTTTTTTTTTTCTAGTCTGCCTTTGTTTCTTAGCCAGTTCAACTGCCACTGCCCAGCAGGCTGGCTGATGCGCCACCATGCTTGATGACTTTATGGCATTTAGATAACAGCTACCACCACCACCACCATCACCACCACTACCAATACTCACTGTTACTAGATATTATAGTAAAAAATATTCTGGTTATATTTAAGAGGGAGACTGTATAACTGAAAGATAAAACCAAATGACACTTAAGATCTCCATGCCCACTCAAATCATAGATATTGACTGTTTAAAATCTAGTTCATATTTCATTCACATAATCAACCTTACTAAAATGGAACTGTAACTTGAAAAATTTTAATACAGAATCCTGCTTGTTAATTTAATGGTTATTTGTTTTTGGTGAAATTACTATAACAAATTTTTTTGCTTCCAATTTAGGTTTTGATGTTGTGGGCCTGTTTATGAAGAACTGGGACATTCGAGATGAGAAAGGTGTTTGTGCAACAGATGAGGACAGAAATGATGCAGAATTTGTGTGTAAAACTTTGGGCATTCCGCTGTATGAAGTTGACTTTGTCAAACAGTACTGGAATGAAGTTTTCATGTAAGTCTTGTCACAGATTTCCTGAAATAATTCTTTTCATGTGATTGTTGCTTGAAACTAATAAATGTTAGGAGAAAGGAGTGGTATTAGCAACCTTATTTGTAACAGAGTTAAAATTAATAGTTGGGTAGATCGAATTAATGTAAGAATAACACTGAGCACAAGAAAGAGAATCATATCATGTATGAGGTTGCATGTAAACACATGGCTTGAGAAACAGCAGTACGCACATACCATAATTGTAACTGACTCACAGAGCATGATGAGAAAGTTTGAGACAGGTATGATCTGTGCAGACTAGCAGGCATCCCTTCAGAGGTCCTGGGTAATTAGCATCCTTTTGATGTCCCAGGATATAACAATGTGTTGGGAAATGAACAGGCAGACAGACTGGCTGGTTCTGTATGTATGTAATGTATGCATGCCTGTATGTGTGTGTAAGTGAGTGGGTGAGCGTGTGTATGTGGGTGTATGTATGCACGCGCGGGTTTTTGCATGCACTTTACAACTCATGCTTTTGTGTTCTTTTATAATATTCATAATATGCATATCATCATATGATCATAACATGCTTTATTAGTAAAATACAACTGCTGTGCGAAAGATGGTTGACTGGAAGGGCCGAATGTAAGACGGGCCTGCGTGCCCAATTTGTGACCCTTTGAAAATAAAGTTCATTCGTTCGTTTGTTCACGACTTGATGGCGAATTGATGCAAGACAAGTGTAAGTGAACAGTGCAAAGGCACAGACAGAACGTCACAGTCTGAGGAGAATGGTGCTCCAAGGAGTGACTGTAGGATCTGGCCGATGCTAAACACTTAAGGGGAAGATAAGATGGATTTACAGTCAGGTTGTTACTGGTGCCATCATAATTTAAACTCTGCACTTGCTGCTGAAGATGGTGATGGAGCACTTATCTGAATATTCTGAGTGCTAAGATGTCAATTCTCAACTAATAACTGAGTTTAATCTGTTTGTGTCTCCCATTGTGCTTTCAGAATCTGGCTAAGACGAGCTTTCTTGTTTGTGTCTCCCATTGTGCTTTCAGAATCTGGCTAAGACGAGCTTTCTTGTTTGTGTCTCCCATTGTGCTTTCAGAATCTGGCTAAGACGAGCTTTCTTGTTTGTGTCTCCCATTGTGCTTTCAGAATCTGGCTAAGACGAGCTTTCTTGTTTGTGTCTCCCATTGTGCTTTCAGAATCTGGCTAAGACGAGCTTTCTTGTTTGTGTCTCCCATTGTGCTTTCAGAATCTGGCTAAGACGAGCTTTCTTGATTGTGTCATTAAAATGACCTTGAATGGTTTCCCACAGCTTGTTTTCAAATGTAAGCTTCGATGCGAGCTAGAACCTCTGACAGAAGTAGGGAAATCCTCAAATACATCCTCAGTGAAAGCTCTGATGGTAGCTAGAACCTCTGACAGAAGTAGGGAAATCCTCAAATACATCCTCAGTGAAAGCTCTGATGGGAGCTAGAACCTCTGAGAGAAGTAGGCAAATCCTCAAGTACATCCTCAAGAGTCTCTCTGTCTACTCTGCATTCAAAGGTAGCAGGTTCTTGTATGTCTATTTTGTGTAGGTGGGCTTTAAGACCATATTGTCCTGTCTGAAGCCTTACTGTTGTTGTTCCTTCTTTCCTGTTAAATGTGTTTATACTATCACTATCTGATCTTTTGTTTCTGTTCTTCCTTCTCTACTCTCCACTGCAGGAGATTGTTTTAGCTTCTCTGTAGCTCTGTGGTTTATGATGAGGTTTTGGAAGATGACTTCCAGCTCTTGCTAACCCATGTCACAGTCAGCTGGTATTCTTTACAGGACCAGTTCTAGTTCCTTTGAAAGCAAGCTGATGCTGCTGCTCAGATCTGCAATTAGTTTGTCTTGTTTTGTGCTTGATAGTACTTGAACAAGAAGCAATAAGAACAGCATAACTTTAGTCTTTTCTCTCTTTTACAGAGACATGGTAAAAGATTATGAGAATGGCATTACCCCAAACCCAGACATTATGTGCAACAGACATATCAAATTCCATCACTTCATTCATCATGCTCAGACAAAATTAGGAGCTGATGCCATAGCAACAGGCCACTATGCCAGGACAAGTGTGGGTTACAATCTGGATCGGATAGATCCCCAAGTTGGTAAGTTAGTTTTATTTTTTCCAGAAGCTCTTTTACAAACTTTCATCACACAATGAAAGGGACCTATTAAAGATGCAGACATAAGAGAGTCAGAAGCAGCAACAAAATTATGTTTTAATTACCACTAATTAATGGCATCACGAGAACCAGAAGACTACAGCAGTTTGGGAGTATAGAAAGAATGGCAGATGATAGATCCACAAAACTGTCTACATAAAAGAGTTAAACACAAGAATACTATGAGGCAGATCATGAAGGCGGTAGAGATATAATATACAGGCAGACCTACAAACACAGTCATTGGCTGGAAAGAGAAGCCAGTCACAGAGATGACTGGAGGTTAATAGTGGCAATAAGGGGCGGATTTTTTTTTTAGTAGCATAATAGTTTTTTTTGCTTAAATTTATTTTTTTTTTTTTTTTTTTTTGAAAGAGCATAGGGCTTGGAAATGAAAAAAAAAAAACACAACAAGCAAGCCTAGAAGAAGATTTATTAAATTAGTCATTAATTAAATTAGTCACTGACAGCCTAAGACTTTGCATCATCACAACATACAAAGCACCCACTGTTATTGTTTGTTTGGCCTTGTCTGCAAGTGTATGGAGGTCATGGTAGTAACTAAAGCAATAACATGGCTGGAGACACACTTTCACCCAAACTTGCATTCTCAGTGAGTCAGTAAGTATACTCAGGAAGAAAAGAGATGGGCTGAATCTGAAGATAGTAGTTGGTGTCTCTGAGATGGTCAGGGATGACAAAGATCAGTTCATACCAGGGAACACAGGTGTGCAAGGTAATGAGCAAGCTGATAGGTTTGCAGGTAAGGCTGCTGTGGAGGGTAGACGAATCGTAGACCAGGATGATGTACTGAATTCTCTACGAGTAGTAAGACATTTGCAAGAAGTAAGTCATGTCTGTGAATCTGCAACTGTGACCAGACTGCAAGAACAGCATTGTTTAAAAGGGGTGTGGCCAGACAGGAGCAATATGCAGGAAGCCAAAAAGATTAGGAAATCAACATGGAGCTGATGTTGTCAGCTGCTTCACGCTGCAGGATTTACTGAGGAGGAGATCCCAGAATCTATGGATTGCATGGTTCATGCAGTGAAGATGATCTGTCCTCACTAATTAACAGCATGTGAAGCACCCAGAATACCCTAGCTTGGATAAATATCACTTGTTAAACTGACTCCTGGATAAATTTAAATTGTTAAATTGACTCCTGGATAAATATCATTTGTTAAACTGACTCATGGATAAATATAATTTGTTAAACTGACTCATGGATAAATATCATTTGTTAAACTGACTCCTGGATAAATATCATTTGTTAAACTGACTCCTGGATAAATATCATTTGTTAAACTGACTCCTGGATAAATATCATTTGTTAAACTGACTCCTGGATAAATATAAATTGTTAAACTGACTCCTGGCTGCATAAAGCAGATATTGACAAATTAAGAAGTGGCGCGGTGATTTATGTCACAGGCATGAGGGAAAGTTAAGTCCAAAATGATGTGTATAAGGAGATACTCCGTACGTCACTCGGGCGCCAGTCCTTCACTGTTCTGATTGTACGGAACCTCACGCAAGACCCCTGCAGCACGTCCTCGTCGTGCGCCACGGATAATGTCTCAAATGAGCATTAACAGAGCTGTCAGGGGATCTCGGAGTTTGGCGGCCCCCAGAGGTGATGTGTCCTTGTGGCTCTCATCAGCCAGCCCCCAAACGCATGGGTGAAAAAGGTTATCAAAACTCATTAGGAACATGAGTAAAGGGCTTGCCGAATGTACAACTAAAATTACAACCTTCGGTTAAAAGTTTGGAGAGTGAAGAGAACATTGTTCTGCTGAGACTCAACCCTTGACCTAGAGATTTACCCGCAGCACAGACGAGTAACATCTCCTGTGGGTGGCGTCTCGCAGCAGGATTCTACCCATGTACATCCTCTGTTAACCCTCAGTGTCGTCGTCACCGCGCTGAGGTACACCATGACAGCAACCATCCATCGGCTGGCTAAGCCTAAATGACCAACAAAACTAGAACCTACGTCACACGAGTAAGCTCAAAATCTGACCATCACAAATCGTATTGAACGGAAAAAGTCCAAATGTCCACACCAAAAGACCCCACTCGCCCGAGTGCTGGGACCAAACAGATAACGATATGCCTGACGCAGGATGTTGAATTTTGTCAGGCTAACGGCTCGTCAAAGATACCTAACATGCGCAGAAAAAGAATGTACCTATTTTGGTGGTCACAAAAGTCCAGAACTCGCGTGAAGCTCCCCGCTGACTTCCGGAGGGCGCAGCCCTTGTCGAGCGGGAGGCCTAATACGGTTGTGAGGTCAAGCAGGCATGTGCAGGACGTGACGATTCCTTGGGTGAGCCCAGAACCAGAGCGCCGTGTGCTGGCTCTGCAAAAATGGAAGCCTCCTTGGATGGCGGGGAATGCCCATGATCTGCCCCTGCCTTTCCTTGAGGGCCAACCGTTCCACAGGGGGCTGCCCCAAAGGGGTACTCCGGGGCAGTACCTGCGGAGAAAGAGACAAAGTGGACACACACAAATCAGGCAACGTCTCGACCCACACAAAACAATGGCCACAGTCATCCTAGAAATAGGCCTGATGTCTTCCCTCGAAGTCGAAGTACAGCTGCCCATGAGGCAGGGAACAACAAAACGGTTTTACACGCAAAACTCAGGTCCAGGTAAAAGCCAAAAGTCCAAGCGGACGATTAACCGGGACCTTCCGCTGGAATTCACAGCCGGTGAACGAAGAAGAAGAAGAAGACAAATTAAGAAGTCTTACTTGCTTTTTGAGAAAATATTTTGATATGCAGGATAGCTATTCATGTATGTTCTAATGTTTTTCTCTATAGGTGTATCATTGTTGTGCGCAGCAGATGCTGAGAAAGATCAGACATTCTTTTTGAGCCAGATCAGTCAGTGGGCTTTACAGAAGACCATATTTCCCATTGGTGACCTTGCAAAAACAGATGTTAAAAGAATAGCAACTGAGGCAGGGATGGAGAAAATTGCAAAGAAAAAAGAGGTAAACAGAAAACAGTGTTTGTAATCCATTCAAATTATTTGAGTGAATCAAGAATAGAAACCACTGCACATTCCCATACTTGCTCTCCCCCTCTTAAGTAGCCAGTAAAGAGTTGTTATGCTAATATTGCTAGCTGCAACCTGATTAACTTTCTCCTGCTTTCGTTCCCTGCTAATGTAGAATCTTCAAGACCCTCAGCTGAACCTCCTCTCCACATTTGGATTCAGTCTGTTCTGCTGCACTGTTCACTTGATGTCTAGAGATATCCAGTGTGGCAGTATACGAACAGATGGATCTGTTTCATTTTGTTCACATGCCACGGTTTATGAACTCTGCATCTCTAGGGTCTGTCAACTCCAAGAATCCCTGAGAGTTTCTTCTTCTTATTCCTTCAGACGTTAGTGTGAAAATACTTAAAGACATCAGCAGTCTGTTTGAGTTAGCTGGCATCTCCATATGCAGAACAAAGAAAAGTATTCTGGCTAACACCCACTTCTTTTGAGGACAAACTCTAGAAAATAAAGAAAAGCATAGCAGCAAGTGTTTAGCCCTCATTTTACTACTTCCACCATTACAGTCATCAGTGTCTCCTATCTTTAGCCTAATGAACAAATGGGGTTTTAGCCTGTTATGTCCTGTACAGAGTCTAAATATTTCTACTTGTTCTCTTTGGCTAAGTTGGTAGTATACAAGTTGGTTGTGGCCAGTTTTTTTTAATAATTTCTGACACAGTCCACATAGTGCGTCTCTAAGATCTGTAGTTCTGTATTGTTTTTGCTCTTCAGTGTTGTGACAACTGACTTTGCATCTGTAAAGAAAGCTATGTGTTTTTCTTTATTTGTTTCTGACAGATGATTAAACCTTTGATACATGGGGTGATCTGTCAGTCTTCTAAATTTTTCTGCTTGTTTGCTGGGCTCTACTGTCTCTCCTATCCTCCATTGGTTGCAGACCTGTGACCTTTTCTAGTTCATTAATAGGCATTGTTTTCATGGCCCCAGTTATAATCCGCATTCTTTGATTTTGAACTCTACTTATTTTGATATAGTTTGACATGGCTACTATTGCCCAAGCTGCAATACCATATTCAAAAACTGGCCTTACTCGTCCAGTGTATAGTTTCTTGAGAACTTTCTCATCTGCTCCCCGTGTTGTGCCAGCAAGTTTTTTCATGATTGCCATTCTTTGCCTTACTCTTGTTCAACTTGCTTCTACCTGTGTCTTCCATGTCAGGCGGCAATCAAATGTGACACCTAGGTATTTTGGATTGTTCTCTCGAAGCAGTATTTTTCTATTTACAGCTAGCTTAACTGGCTGTTTTTTTTTTTTTGGTTTTTTTTTGAGAGGGAGAACACAGTGCATGTTGTTTTCTCTTCACTGATATTCAGTAACCATGTTTTCAACCATTCCTCTAACATTGACAAGGCTTGCTGCATCCTATTGTTGGCTACACAAATATGTTCTTCGCTAGTCCATATAGCTAAGTCGTCTGCAAAGAATGAAATGTGTACTCTGGCTAGAAAATTACTTGTAATATCATTTATATATGCCAAGAACAATGTTGGTGTCAATACTCCCCCTTGGGGTACACCTTGTTCTAACAACACTTTTTTTGTGCTAGTTTGTCCTTGTACTTTTGTCCTGGCAGTTCTATTCTCAAGGTAGTGACTGATCCAGTTGTACATTTCCCCACAAACATGCATTTTTTGTAGCTTTACTTCCTTCCACACTTTATCAAATGCTTTTTCTAAGCCTACCCACATTGCTAGTTTGTGTTTTCTCTCTTGAAAGGCATCCTCCATTTCCTGGGCTATATATGTTATTTGGTCTTCAGTGGATCTGTACTTTCTAAATCCTGCCTGTTGTGGAGTTAGTAGGTGCTTTTCTTCTAGATGCCTCATTAATCTGTTATTTATAATGTGTTCCATCAATTTCCCTACACAGCTAACTAAGCTAATTGGTCAGTATGCATTTGGTTCTACCGGGTCTTTTCCTTTCTTCTGGACTGGTATAAGTATAGCTTCCTTCTATGCCTGAGGGACTATTCCTCTCTCCCAGCTGCAGTTAAAAACTGCTAGTAATTGCTTTTTTGCCTTAGTACCCAGTCCTATTATCATTTCATTTGTGATCTCATCCTTCCCTGGTGATTTCTTTTTTTTTTTTTAGGGAACTCACTGCCCGCTCCAACTCTTCCATATTCAGATTTTCCATCATAAATTCTTATTTTGACATGTCCGTTGCTCTTTCATTGCTTTTTTGTGTTTGTTTTGATATCAATTTGGTTTGCACTAGCATAATATTCCATCAGTGTATTTGCAGCCTTTTTTTCTGTTAGTATGTTGTTACCCTGTTTAATAGTTATTTGTTTGTTACTAGGCCCTTCATTGTTCATGGCTTTTACTAATTTCCACAATTTATTTCCATCTTTGTCCAAGTTGAGGCTTTCTGTTTTTTTCTTGCCAGGTATTTCTAGTTGTTTGATTTAATGTTCTTTTCTATTTTGATGAGATGGCTTTCAAGGGAATGTTTGCTTCAGTTATTTGTTCTCTCTCTGCTGTCTTCCTGGCTTCTTGGACCTTTTCCTCCAGGATCTGCAGTTCTTTAGTCGAGTACGGTTTGTAATTTTTCCTTGCACCTCTTGGAATGCACTAATATTGTACCTGCAGTATTGCTTTGTCTAGACTTTCTACTATTGTCTGCATGTTGCCATATCATGTGTTCATGTTTTTACAGTACTCGTCTGTCAGCAAAGCAAATTTATCCCAATCAGCTCATTTGTAATTCCATCGAGGCAACGGTTTCTGCTCCTGTGGGACATAATCCATATTCATAACAAGATTTAATTTATAATCCTAAGATATAGTTGAGAAAAGTATCATCATCATATTTAGTAATATTAATATTTTCCACAATATCTGTCTGTCTATGTATATCTGTCTACCCGCCTGTCTTAATCTATCAGTCTGTCTGACTATCTGAAATATAATGACAACTTTTTATACAATCTCTATGGCAGAGACTGCACTGCTACAGTACACTTTAGTCATAGCAGAGGCTGTTCCTAACACCAGGAGCACAACCTTCATAGTCCCTGGTAACTCATAGTTGCCTAGATCTGTCTGTCTGTATGTCTGTCTGTCAGTCTGTCTGTATATCTGTTTCTCTTTTTATCCATCCACCCATTCATATATATATATATAATTGTTTTCTCCCTCAGAGTATGGGGATATGTTTCATTGGCTCTCGAAACTTCCACTCGTTTATCGAACATGTGAGTATGATTTTCCTGTCCTTGTTTGGTGAGGCATGTTTTGTGCATGGGAGTTTGTTGACTATTGCTATGTCTGTGAGAGCCACAGTAAACTAGCAACTTTAACATCCAAGTATAAATATAAGGAGAATGTGTTGGGTGGGGAAATGATGTTAGGTGAGGGATTGATGTTGGAGAGGTATATGATGTTGTGTGTAGTATGATGTTGTGTGTGGGAAGAGGGGGGGGGGGGGTGTGATGTTAGGTGGGGAGGCAATATTTTGTGGGGTAACATGTTAGATGGGCTTATGGAGGTATAATGTTGGTTTATGGTAAAATATTTAAGTAGAAAATTGTCAGAGTTCCTACAACTAGAAGCCACTGGACCTAATATAAAAAGCTGAATTGCAGAATTGTTAATCCGTTGCACTCACCACAGTATCATGGTGGTTTGTAGATCTTACAGTTTTCTTGTCATATGTTGTCTGTTTTGTATATTCAGACGTGTGTATGTGTTTGCATATATGCGTTCTTGTGTGTGCATGTAAAACCTATGTATATGCATGTGTATAAAAAATGTGAGTGTGTGTGTATATATATATATATATATATATATATATATATATATATATATATATATATATATATAAAATTTGTTTTAAATTGTTCCCATAGTTAGCAGTGTATAGATATATATCTATTAGTAATTAATGTGCTCTGTGAACTCTGATTTCAGTATATCGAGCCAAGAAAGGGCAACTTTATAGATGTGGAAACCGGAAAAATTGTTGGTCAGCACAAAGGTTTGTTTCTTTCCTTCTCAGAAGGTACTTTTTCAATAACCTGACTTTGAAGCTGTTAAGCTTCTGAATCGTTCAGTCATTAAAGCAGTCACCCTAATGTGACTGCTTCTCATTTTCCTCATTGGGCACACAAAAAGAGGAGGTTTTATATGTCTGACTTTCATGGTAAACCCTGTGGTATATTAAACTCCCATCAATGAGATGTACTGTGTAACTAGAGAAGACAGCGTTATTTGTGTATTTCAGTGGAAATGATTTATTTTTGTGTTTCTGTGCATGTTGATGTAAATCTGTAATAGTTCACCTTACAAGATACAGCAAAGTATACCAGGCAATAAATTTGTCAATGTATCGTTTGGTTCACATTATTTAAATTTTCCTATTCTGTGGTAGCTGATCATGGCAGCCTTTTATCTTTGTAGTTTCATGTTTGCTTGTTAGCTCTATATTAATGTTTTTCTGTCTGTCCTGAAAGAAAAGATGAAAAGTTGATCCAGTCTAAAACAGATGCCAGGAAGTAAAGGTAACAGACATGATAGTAACCACATCTGCCAGTGAATGATGATTTGTCTATAACAGTACAGGACTAGTATTATATCATAGATATACCTCCCCGCATTTTGATAAACAAAGAATAGACTAATTGCACTCCTAACAGGGTGGATTTTTATCGTGGTATGGGGCGTCGCAGGTAGACTCAGCCTAAAATGGGTACCAGGATGGCTGTCCTGGGGAAGTAGAGAGGGCCAGCATAATGCTAACCACATTACCCACCTAGTGCCGATGGTCTGAAGAAATATGGGCGCTCTTCCTATATATCCGATGCGCCTAAAGGTATGGGATGGGATCTTTACTTTTTTTTACTCCTAACAGGAGGCAACTAGTTAGGGGTGTTTTCTTCGAAGTCGGAATGTTTCTGCTCTGAGAGGCAAGGTGCCCCCAGTCTACATACAAATAAACCAGATCTGTAAATAGACACGCATGCAAAAATCGAGTTCTGGATCAAGACCAAGAAGTGGATGAACAACCAGAACCTCCTGCTGGAGTTTACAACAGTTGAATGCTTAGAAGAAGAACAAGAAGAAAATATCACATACCAAGTGAAGGCTGTTCTTCTGCTTCTTCATTTCTTCCTGTGGTTACCTTATTGAAGTGTGGAGGGAACTGTTAGGCTTTTCTATGTGCTCTTTCAATATATAAGTTGATCTTAATTTCTTTAAGACTGGTCTTGATGCCTTGTTCCATCTTTCACATGGACTTTTCCTAGCTCATTATTTATTATATTTCTTTATCGTGATTCCATGTAGCAATTCTCATCTGTTGCTCCTTAATGAACTGTGTGATTAGTTTCAGTCATAGTCTTCTTCTACTTTTTTTCATGTTTAATTTGATCTCTTCTTGTTACTCTGACAACGTTTTAAAAACATCTGATCTCTGTTATCCTGTTTTTGCATTCATTAGTTGTAGTAGAACTCTGTATGTGATACTAGCATCATAAGGTTGGCCAAAGAAAAGTTCTTATTAAATTTACCTTGGTAGACAAAGGCATCCTTCTGTGCATTTAAGGTATGTCTCAAAAAATCCTTAAAATGTTGACTTCAGTGAGTATATAACATGATCTGTTTCAGGAACACACTACTGGACACTGGGACAGCGGTGTCTGATACCCGGGCTGGCTGCTGCCTACTTTGTTTGTGAAGTACATCCCCAGGAGAATGAAGTTATTGTGGTACTGTTCACTTACATACTTTGTCTTTTGTGCACTTTTGAATTATCTATACATTTATTCTTATACACATCCTATGTGCCCATAGAATTCTTCTTTTCTCCAGCTGTACATGGGAGCTGAGCTACTGCAGTAGCTAGACACTCGCCTGCTGGCCCAGACAAAGATCTTGGGTTCAGATCTGCATCAAGATTGATTCTTCAAAATTGACCTTTGCTTTAAGGTTGATTTAGCCTAAAATAGGTATTGAGTAATGTCTTGGGAAATTATGGCACCGCTTGATTATAACCACATCAGCAACATTTCGCCGATTTGTCTATAAAATATGCGTTTTTAACTGTGTGTACTACCTATGCATCTCAGCATGCTTTGTTAGTCTGTTACAGTTGTGTGCGTGCATGCGTCTGGTTGGTTGGTTCTCAAGACAGCAGAAAACTGCCGTGACTTCCTCTCTAGAAAAGCACTCAACACACAGAGGAAAGGCAAGAAGGACATGCCATCAGAATGCTACTGCTACCATCATTGTTGCAACTCTTTGCTAGATGCTGAAGATGGGGATGGAGCAGTTATGGGAATATCCTCAATGCTGTGATGACATTTCTTAATCGAACTCAGCTGAGCATACATACTCAAATAGATATACACCTTCTCCTCGACTTACAACATTTGCGACTTATGACCACAAAAATAAATCAAAGGGTAAAGAAAGATTACATTAGTAGGGTTGAAAAGTTCCCTGAAACTGATGCTTAGAATACAGCAGGGTCTAGACATCAGTCTGTTTGACTCTGCTGCAAATGACAGACTATCTGGAACTGTAGTTTGAATTAAAATAATGTTGAAAAATATAAATTCAACTCACGACCTATTAGTTGGAACCAAACTTGGTCATGTGGCGTGGGGGCTCTATACCAGTATATATTTTAGAAACACAAGCTCAAGATTTATCAGATTGAGTGAGTACAGGTCAGGTATCTAGAAATGGTCACATGATTTTTTTGTTTCTTACACAGGCCTCGGGGACAGACCACCCAGCATTATTTACTAGTTCTTTCACAACGGAACCTTGTTACTGGATACAGACAGCACCAGAAGACGGCACATTTGCTGCTGGGTTCCGATTCCAACACAAGCATCCATTGGTGGGCTGTTCAGGTCAGCTGGATCGGCACGGAGTTTGCCATGTGAACTTAGACCATCCAATGCGGGCTGTCACACCAGGACAGTATTCTGTTTTTTATAAAGACAATGTTTGTCTCGGCAGTGGGAGGATTTGGAGGTTAGGTCCAACATTATACGAACAAGGCATGAGAGAGAAGGTGTCATTCCCCCAAGAGTTTTCTTAGCTCTTCACCTCAGAAGTCTTCACCGAAGGTGCCAAGGCGGTGGAAATCATACACCACTGAAAATATGCGACTTCCACAAATTAGTCAATAAAACATAACTATGAAAGACAGAAAAAGCATTAAAGCTTTCATCTTCATACAAAATGAAGTCAGCTGCCTGTCGAAATATGCATACCTGTGAAATCACAAAAAATTGCAGGGTGTTTCACGACTGAGTCATGTACACACAGTAGCAGAGAGTGACCCGGAGAGATAGGAAAGGCAAGAGGTCAGAGGTTTCCATGACTTTCAAAGAAGTTATATACTTAGTAGAAATAGCAAGTGGAGAAGCCAGATTTCTTAGTATGTTAACCAAATGTAAAATTTGCAAGACCACCTGATGATTTGGATTCATGGAAAAAAAGAGACAGTCACATATTATGAATGAGTTAATGAAATATTTGTGATTGTGCTGGAAAATTTTCATTAGTTGGCAGCCTGATGGTATATGAAGATAATTTGAGTCCCTGATGTAGGAAACTGTAAAGTGGGTGCTGCTTCTCTCCTGTTTGTGAATGCTCCATGAATATGGAACAGTTAATTGATCTGGTTGGGTTGTTTCAAGGATTTCCAGGTATTTCTGAATTTGTGGGAAAATTGATGATAGTGATTCATCTGATTGGATGGAAGAGGATGGTAAAGTTTGCTGTATCATCCCTCAGCACATTGGCTACTATAAATCTTTGTAAACAACAGTGAAAAGATGGAAAATGAAGAGGTACGGGCATGTAAGAAGATCTTTCAGCCTCTCCCAAATAATACTGCAGGGCTCAGTAGAGGGAAAGAGGAGAAGAGGCAGACCAAGAAACACCTGGATACAGAATTTAGCTGAAAGGGCAGGCCTCAAATATACAAACATCAAGTCCATTGTATCCAACTGATAGCTGTGGAGGGAGCTGATCAGATAGTCAACAGCAACTGATGACCCAACAACTCGCTGTGTTATGGAATTATAATGATAATGTAGATTAATTAACATTGATGATATCAAGTCACTTGATATATCAAATCATTTCAAGTAGTGAATGAAACAATACTTTTTAATGAAACTATTTCATCACTATCATCAAGTGCCTTTGCAGACTGGCATGCCGATCATGCCTCTCCACAATCTACGATCCACAACTGCGTGGATCAGTTCGTGCACTGACAGTGCCATGAAAAAAAGCTGTCAAGAATCCTTTCGTGCTGTCTCTTTCTGTCGATCTTTACAGTGGTCACAACATGTCCCAGTTTCTCTTTCCTCATAACATGAGAAAATGATGACTGTCTCTTTCCGATATTTGTGACAAATTGTTTTCGAGCACTCACCTTTTTCAAAACATCTGGGTTGCATTTCTTAGCTGTCCAAGAAATTCTAAGGACTGTTCTTTAAAATCACATCTCTAACGCCTCAAGATATTGTTCAGCTAGTTTATCAGTTGTCCAGGCTTCACAGCCATATGCCAAGACTGGCTCTATATAGCATGTGAGAATTCTTTTCCTAACCTCCAATGATATGGATTTATTGCACAAAATGTTCTTCATTTTTTAAAAGTCAGTGTTGGTCTGTCCTATTCTGTTCTCTATCTATGATACATCGTCTATCGGATATTATCTGTGTGCCTAAATAATTAAATTTATGCACTTGCCATAGTTATAGCCAAATTAAACGCATACAACTGCATATTGAAAGTATTGTTATTTTAATAAATGGGCAGAAAACTGAAAAGTTGTCACATTATTATATTAATAATTTATTCGATCACCAAACATCACATAGGCCGGCCATGAGGAGCGAATTGTTTCAAGTCTTCAAAGGTACAAGTCGCAAGACGAGTAGTGAGTCGCTGAACAAAACCCCAAGTGAAGTTGCAAGTCTTTAATTACGTGACCTGACTGGCACTCGAGTTCAAGTCACGCAACTAAAGAGTTCCGATCTTTGATAGTAAGTTCAGGTATGCTGTCAAATGATGTTATAACACCTTCTAAACTTTCTCGTCCTTCTCACCCGAAGCATCAAGATTTTACTGATAAGCCTGTGAATTGTGTTCATAGATAATGTGAACTGATGAAAAGACAGGGAAGGCAAATAAAAGTGATGACGTTCAGTGGCCATTCACTGCTTCGAGCTAATTATCTAGCCGTTCTCAGAACAGTTAAAACGAAAAACAGGAAAGTACATTGTTTTATTGGTGAGGAGTTAATAATATATGTTGAAAGAAAAACTATAGGTCCTCAAAAAATTTAAACCAGAAGCTATACCTCTTTCTGACATCACCATTCAGATGAGAAATGTTGATATGAACCTGATACTGGAAACAAAGTTGTGGACGGGATAAAGAAAGATGTTTGGCAATCCAACTTGATGAATCGACTGATTTGAGTACCCAGTCTATCCTTCTTTATGTATACTGTAGACAAAGACTATGGTAAGAATTTCTTTCCTGCCTTGAGTTACCAGGATGGACCTGTCGTGAAGTGAGCAGCCGACCCTACACGATGGACGAGTCGTGACTCTGACTTCCCTAAGCGGGCAGTCACATTTCAAACTTAAACCCGTCCGGAGGGGTATATAGTCCCTCATATTGATATATACCTCTATCTGGTAAAATATTCATTTCTAGACACTCTAGTTGCTTTGATAAATCTTCCATTTTCAAACTTGCAACTGTAGGTTGAAGATTTCTGGTGTTTAATTCAGAAATTCCTGTAAGCCGGTTTACTTCTTGGGTATGAATCCAGGTACTTATTTCCTAGAGACGCCAAGTGTAGTTTTGAGCGGCATTCTTCAGCCTGATCTCCAAAGTGTCAAGACGTGTATACAGTCTATGAATAAAACTGGCGCATTCTAGAACCAGTTCTATCTTTGAAGAATTCCTAAGCTTGGGATGATACCTACTTAGAGATCAGGCAGACAAATCACAGTCCAGCCAACAACCACCAACCCATACCATTCTGGGCACCAAGTACACACAAAAGTCCTGTATATTGTTGCCACTGCCTCAGCATGGCAAGAGCTTGTTTGTGAGTTCCAGGACTGGTGGACAATTGCAGACACTTATGTCATCAATCCAGAGAAACAGTCTTCAAGAGCTTTGTTGGGCTCTTGTGCAGTTCTTGTGTCCGCACCAGTGAGACAGCCAGCGGGCACCACAGTCTTCAAGAGCTTTGTTGGGCTCTTGTGCAGTTCTTGTGTCCGCACCAGTGAGACAGCCAGCGGGCACCACAGTCTTCAAGAGCTTTGTTGGGCTTTTATGCAGTTCCTATGTCCTCACCTGTGAGACAGTCAGCTTGTATCAGATCAAATCGGGGCATAGCTACCTATTGAGTCAACCACAGTCAAATCACCATGGACTGAGGAGAGCAGTGACCTACGAACTGGGATAAGTGATCTATTAATTACAATCATGCTCTCTTCCCACAGCTCCTTGTGATTCCTATGATGAACGCATGTAATATCAAGAACTACATCTGGCTGCCTCAGCATCTGGGTTGTGTCATTGATTCCTGAACTCCATTCACTGAACATTCTTGATGATCTATTTGTTGATGTATATATAATGTACTTATTATATGTAAAAACTTTCATGGCTGACTTGGGTGTCCCTGTTTCACCATTCTAACTGTCTAGCTTTTATGTTTGTGTGAGTAATAAGTGTAATCTGTGTTAACATGGTTATGATAGTATACTATCATAACCTGGGGGCTACCTTTTTATAGTAGTGGGGGTGTCCAGCCAAGTGTGCCTAGGAATATTATATATTTTGTAGTGCCCAAGCTTGAGTTGCCCTACTCCTGAAATAAGTTGAGCGTATATTGGCCACGGGGTAACCCTTAGACCAATACGAGCCAACGACTCAACATTATTATTTCAGAGTGCTGTTGGTTCTTAAGGAGAAATCCTTAAATCAGGCACGTGACAGGAGCGGTATGTGACAGGACCACTAGTTCAGAAATACGTAAAGCTTTTGAAAGATTTTTTTTCAAGCGTAGGGCTTTGGCTGCAGCATGCTTGCCAGGGTGTGCGGACTGTGCTTAAGGCATAAATGGACCTCGCTCAGAAGTAGTTGCGAAAATAAAAGAAGTTGTACACCCCAAAGTTTTGTTAACTCACTATAGGATCCACAGGTAGCACTACGCTTCAAAGAAACTTTCTACTGAACTTAACAAAGTGACGAATGAGGCGGTGAAGATCATAAATGAAAATTGCAATCAAGCTTCGAACTTCAGGCTGTTCACAACACTGTGTGTCAGTGTAGATTCACATCGCCAGCATATCCCCCTTTATACATCAAGAAAAGATATAAAACCGAACGAAAAGTATATTAGCAAGCTTCAAAATATAACAAATACAAACAAAATGTAAACGTTGCGGATATGGAGCCTTCATCAGCACATACAAATCAAACAATACTACACAGATACACAAAATCACTTGTATCTCGAAGCAGCCGGGTCGGTGGTTTTTCAGCAGAATGACTACACGTGTAGGCTGGGGGAATAAATACCCCCGTGGAGTACCAGGGGCCATAACTGGGGTGTTGGGGATAAAACTGTGAGGGCAGTTCAATCCCCTGGGAATTTAATTGAAACTGTTGGCAATTCAGTCCGGATGTTGTTAAAGTACTTAGAGTATAAATAAAGCGTTTCTCAAGAGACTTGCGGACTCTGTCGCTGGAATGGCTGGATTTAATGACTGTCACCTCCATGTCGTGGACACCTTGGTGATCCTGGGAATTGAAGTGCAACGGTACTGGTTTCAGAGCACCATTTTGCACATCCAAAAGATGTCTGAACATGTCAGCCAGCCGTCGACATGTTTCACCAATGTATTTCATGCCACATCTCTTGCAGTTGATGGCATCAATCATGCAGAAATGTGGTGGTTATCGAGAGGACAGATTCTTGCAGGCCTTCTCATTCTGTTGGAGGGAGTAAAGAAGTTCCTGCGGGAGCAGAAGTCTTACCTAGTAGAGGAACTTAGTTGAATGGGGGATGGCTGAGCTGGTGCACATGACGAAATGTAATTAACCTCCTTAAACAACTTATATGAAAACTGGACAGAGAAATTAGCTCCAGATGTGCCAAAGCTAATCAAGTAATGGGTCAACTATCTCCCCTGTTGACACACAAGCAGATACCTCGGAGTACTAAAGTGAATCTTATCAGAACTATTTTTTGGCCAACACTATGCTATCAATGTCAAACGTAGACACTTATATCCTCCAATGAATGTAAAATTATGAAACAGAGATGAAATGCCTTAGAAGAGCTGCAGGAGTTTCAAGGAAAGACAATATGAAATCTGATGAATGCTAGGAATAAAGCCAGTCTTACGGGTCATCAAAGAACAATAAATGGAGTGGTTTGGACACCTAACAAGAATGCCCTGGTACTATCCGCCACAGCGAGCCACACTAAAACATTACAACAGGTATAGAGCACGTAGAAGACCTCGGAAAATATGGAGTGATGGCATTAAGAACAGCCTTACAGAAATGAACATCAGTCTTAATAGTGCTCTTGACAGAGCTCATCAACGAACATTACTCGCCCCCCCTCCCCCTTTCCGCTGACACTTCACTGAAGTACAAGGTGAAAGAGAAGAAGAAGAAACAACATATTTCTCTTCAGTAAACTTGTGCATGTATGTTTACATTTAGAAATAAAATTGACTCGTTAAAACAGAAACAAAAAAGTGACTGTCTGATATAATCGTCTAAAGGAGAAAGATATAGAAACATTACAACTTTTTGGACAATATTTTATTTCTGCCGTTTTGAAGACAAAATTATATTCAACATTAAGTCAGCATTTACAGACTGAAATTATTGATAGTTATTTTCCAGAACACGAGGTTCGTTGTACAGGCAATCTTTGGATTTATAATCAACTCTCAGTGTGAAATAGAAAAGCTGATCGAATTGTCTCTTATGTTATTCTTGTACCCAGACATGCAATGCATTCATTGTCTTGTTTTAATTATCAGTTGAGCTGGAATTGGAACTCTTCGCTTGCTGCTGAAGATGGGGACGGAACGCTTATGGAAGTGTTTCGAGGGCTGTGATGTTGATTTTTAATTCAAAATTCAGAAACAACGCTTTTGCCACGTATATACGATTGTTTAAGCTGTAAGTAGCAGCAGATGTGGCACTGGCTGACAACTGTAATTCTGTGACATCAGATTTAACATATATTCCTATTTACACTGGTTTTTATTTGGTGTGTGTTTGGTTAACTTTGTATGTAAATAACCAAATGGAACACATACAATTGCACATAGCAGGTATTGTTATGTTAATAAATGTGCATAAAACTGAAAAGTTGTCACATTATTGTATTTTTTTTTAATCACCAAACCTCTTCTCAGTGGCCCGACGCGAGGAACGAGTCGTATCAAGTTTTTAAAACCTGACGGTTGGCCGCGGAACAATTTTCCCAGCTTTGGTGGGATGCGGGTGTAAACCGTTTGAGAAACACTGTGTTTTAAGGGCTTCACAACTTACTTAGGAGGTCAGGATATGAATAAATTACCTGGAAATAGCATTTTAGGTTTTTTTTTAATCAACGAATAGTTTTTTTTTTTTTCAAATAAAAAGCCAAGTTGACGTCACATTTTCCCTTAAGCCTCGACGGTAGAGGTGACGCACTAGTTACCCGATATTTGTCACCAGATACTTATATGTTTTTGGGATCCGGGGAATTTTTTAAATGTAATGTTTAACTCTGTTCATGCTTATTGATTATTCCCTTGATATATATTCCCTTGAGTTATATATCTTTATGTATTTCTAACAAAATGTAGATAAATAAAAAAAACATGCATTAATGACCTGTGTAAAATTACTGTTGAAAGATTTTTTTTTCTCCAAAATTTCTGACAGTAGTTTTAACTATCCTGTGGTAACATGTGGCCAAGCCATCCGGGCATTTTTTCCTGTACTTATTTCCTATCATGTTTGCCAGTTGTCACCAAGTTTTCAAAAGTGGTAAAACTAGGGATGGCTGCACTCCAGCTAATATCAAGATGCAACAATACAGCGCAAACTGTGACTAAAAATGAATGGAGGGAAAGGAAAAATACAATCGAACCTTTTTTACCATAAATCTTTATCAACAGAAACTATAACAGAATGGAAACCATGTTACCGTGTGTGTATAACTTGATCAGTTTCCATTCTGTTTTATGGTTTGTTGATAAAGTCTAGTTCTTCTTATTTTTCGTTCCTTGGCACGCTTTGTTGTGGTTTACAGTTAGGCTGCGATATCTGCGTTTTCGACACAACACTTTCAGTTTAAGCAAGTTCTTAAAGAGTCACCATTTTGCTTGAGGATCAGTGGCCTATTATCCCCTCCCTAGTCCTTCCCCTTTCCCTACACGGGGAGGACTTTAGCTGATATATTTAATCGTATTTGTGTGTGTTTTCCTACCTTCGCTGAGCCTTGTGATCATAGAGTGTCTGTAGTTACACTCACCTTCATATTAACAGCAGATTTACTAGTACAGGTCTAACAAGCCTAGATGCATACTATACTATATTGCACAGCTTGCTGCGGTGCTTCTTTGCTCGTCTGTTCTTGACATCTGTGTCAAATCTCTTGAGGTTTTCTAGAGATGTGGACGATGGTCTTACCTGGTGCAGAGGACTCTTTGGACTAGACACACAAAATGGTTCGTCCTTCGACATGGAATGTCCTTTCTTTCCTCTCTCAGAGACTGTCTGAACAGAGGATTGACTGTGTACATTATTACACAGGACATTTTCAGAATGCAGCTGCGTCCTTTTCTCGCCATTCTTTTGCGTGGAGGTTTGTTCCTTTTCTTTGTCTGAAAGCGTGTCGTTGGTAACAAGGATGGGTATTTCGTGTGAGAGCGATTCTTTAACAGAATCAGCCTGCGGTTGGCAGTCTTTGATTCCTGTATATATTCTTTCGCGGAAATCATTCTTAAACGAACCATTAATGTACAGACAGTCTTCTGGGACACGCGAATCCAGCAGGGAGGTCTGTGTACTCACTGATTTTGTGATCAGTATACTCTTTCTCCGGATTGAATGGACTTCACTGGAGATGTCTGACGCTAGTGAAGATAAACCTTGGAACAGACACACATTTTGTTGTGGAGAATTTGAGGATTTCTTTTGTCCGGTGCTTTGTTGTTGCTGCATGCTGCAGGCAAGCGGGACATGGGAGCTGTTGTTGTAAACATTATCTTGCAGTTTGGGTGTTTGATTCTCATGTTTCCGGACATTGGGCGCTTTCTTGGGACTGTGATCTGAATCCGTGCTGGAAATGAAAGTTACTCTTTCGTCGTATTCTATATCGGTGTCAGAACTGTGAACACCCCCATGAGAAGGTTCACAGAGATTCTCTTGATCCTTTTCGGCATTTTTATCTAGTTTTTCTTGCGACGTAGTTCTCGGCCACACTGTGTAGTCCTCATTCTCTGTGCCATCCTGGAATATGTCTAGGTCAGTAAAGTTATCCTGGGGTTCCGCGAGACGCCGGTCTAGGTACCCACACAAAAAGTACGTGCCCATGATGCCCTTGCCTTTCACCTCCATTTCTCCTCTGTGCTTGAAGGCATATCCCCAGCCTCTGAGAGCCCTGTGAATAGAATTCAGAATGCCCTGTTCCGATTTAACATTTAAGAGCAATTTTAACTAAGTGCAATGCGACAGTTATTGCAATCACATTGAATTAATACAACGGGTTGGGGTTTGAAATACACAACCACAAAACCCGGTGTTCTTGAGTAAACAGTACTGGAACAAGAGTGAACACATAGAGGGACACTATTACGGAGAAGAAGAACAAGAATACAGATAAAGAAGAAAGGATAGGATTAAGAGAAAATATAACAATGAGGGAAGTAGGGGAAGAAACGTTATTTCTCAATATATTCTTATTTAATTTATTACTGGATAGAACATCCTCATTGTACATCGATTCACTCAGTCTAGGATTGCTGCCATCCCATTCCCAATAAATCTCACAGCGTTTAAGTAAAGTAAGTGAAGAACCGTTTTCCACGCCTTGAGGCGTATTGGGTATATAGGGCTAGGTCTATATATTATAGACCAAACAGCACTTGGTGGGTAATGTGGTTAGCATCACGCCGGCCGCTTTTACTTCCCAGGACTGTACCTGGTACCCACTCAAGGCTGGGTCGACTTGGGAGCCATTTTTGAAAAAAAGTATGGCCTCTGTCAGGACCCGAACCCACGACCTTCCGATTCGCAGGCGAGTGTCTAGCCGCTAGACCACCACGGCGGCTACCACTAGTTACGGGTTGGTTTGTTATCCTTTGTTCTTCTCGCAGTTTGTTCTTGTCTCACGTCTTTTGATTTTGGTTATGTTTTTGCACTCGAATCTAGAAAAGTTCGTCTATCTCTTAGAGTATTCAGTGTACGAACAGTTAGTTGTCCATTGTTCTTGCAACTACCCCAGTAGCCCAGTCTGAAAGCCTATCATCATCATCATAAACCACCTCTGCCGTTAAGCGCCGTGGGCAGGAATAATTTGCGATCCAGTTCACGTTGGCTGCCACTGGCTATTGTCATGCCGTGAAGGCGTAGAGTGTCTTTAATGTTGTCTATCCATGCTTCCACGGCCGTCCTTTTGCTCTTGTAGCTGATCTTCTGAGATGTAGTGCTTGCGATGGTATTTGATCTTGCTGTGGTACAAGGTGTCGTTCCCACAGTTTGCCTGATAGTTTCATTATTAACGCGATCTCAGATGGTTAGGTTGGCTGCTTTTCTCAGGCACCTTATCTCGCAGGCGGTGATTTTGCGCATATGGGCTTTAGATAGTGTCCATGTTTGTCACTGGTGGTTTAATGTTGGAATGAATATGTTGTTAATAATCTGTCTCTTTTTGCACTCATAGTTATGCTTGGATGTCTTAATAATGGTGACAATTGGTATATAAGTGCACTTGCTTTATGACATCTGGTTTCTATTTCTCTGTCAATTCTACCATCTTCTTTGATCATACTTTCTAGATATTTAAACTCCCTAACTTGATTCAGAGCAGAACCATTCAACTGTGTGTGTAGTGGGGCAGGGGTTCTAACTAAATTTAATTGTTTCGGTTTTGTTTGCATTGATCTTCGTGTTGTATTTACTGCATGCTGAGTTTAATCTGGTAATGTGGTCTTGCAGTCTATCTTCTTCAGGGTAGAACAAGCACGTTCTGGCTATATTTAAGACCCTCCCTTCTACGCCAGCTGCCAATCAAGGCTGATTTTATTTGATTTGATTCAAGAACCGACATCACAGCACTCGGGGCATTCCCATAAGCGCTCCGTCCCCATCTTCAGCAGCCAGCGAAGAGTTCCGATACTAATGGTGCCAGTAGCTTTCTGATTAAACGTCTGTCTTGCCTTTCCTCTGAGCCTTGAGCTTCTGCCAGAATCTCTCGTCACCCCCAGCTGCGTCAATCTCACCAAACTATGGTGATCCATCTGCTCCTCTGTATTGTACACCTCTCCCACAAGGCACTAACCACGTCTGCCCTATCATGTAGCAGTATTCCACCAAGTTGTGCAGAGCCAGCCAGTCTGTCCGCCTGTTCATTTCCCAACACACCGGCGTAACCCGGTGAAAAAATCCAGACAATAATCCTCACTCGTGTCCTGTGCAGCGAAGTATGCCACTCTGCACGAAGCATACCTGTTCTGATCTTCCTCAGCATGCTTTCTGGATCAAGGCAAATGACTCATAAACCAACCATAAACAGTCAAAACATATTTGCCCCTGTGGCGATATTAAAATGGAGGATAGGCAGGTTTACTGTTTAAAAAAAAAGGTCAAGGACCCTTTCCTCACCATTAGGCGTATAGGGTTAGACCTAAATGTTATAGAACAATCGGCACAAGGTGGGTGATGTGGTCGCTATCACGCCGGCCGCCTTTACTTCCTGGGACAGCACCCGGTACCCACTCAAGGCTGGGTCAACCTGGGAGCCAAGGTCATTTTTGAACAAAGTCAGGCTCCTCCAGGGAGCGAACCCACGACCTTCTGATCGGCCACGGCGACTCCCCTACTGTTTTAATGGTGGCATAATTTGTATTAGGATAACAGATGGCCGTCGTTGCATTTCCCTACATATGTAGACAGCAAGAGCACCAGGTGGCTGAACGGTTAAGAAAGCTGGGCTCTCAGGCAGGCGTCCCAGACCAGAATTCTCGATAAGGTCGTTGATTAAAAAAAAATGATTTAACGGTCCGTGGCGACAGCAAGAGAAATGCAGATATGAGGCCATAAATTCTTTGACTAAAAGACTTCCTGCCTACACCGCAAATGTATTAACTATAGGCAGTTATTTGCAGTGTCTGGCAGTAGACTGAAGGGATACCGTTTCCTCATGGCGCGATACTGTAGGCTGTGGATTTCATTTGGAAGGCTCTTTCATTGAGTCGAACGAGATTTGTGAGGTGAACTACAAATTAAAACAATGGCCAGCGGTCTGTTTCCACAGAAATGATGGTGCTTCTGCCATTAATTGCGTAAGAAACTGCTGATTTGTTGTAACTGCTGCTTTCATCAACGAGGAAGTGCATTTCTAAAGTCAAACTGTTTGTTCTGGCCCTTCTGATGACTATTGCATTTTAATGCGTGTGTGCTGTAGGATTTTCTGAGACTGCAGTCGGTGTCAGTTTGACAGTAAGGGATGGTAATCGACATTTTGTGTGGTTTTCATTGTAAATGAACGCAGAAGCCATGGGGTGACCCGTTTGCTGTAAATTGGAACTCCAATTACCCGATTACCTGCTTGTTCTATCTGCCTGTATAATACTCACTGGTAAGTGGTTGGACTGACGTGGATCCTACCAGGCAGTCCATGGGACTCCATGCGTGAAGCTGTGTTGACAGTGTCCCCAAAGAGGCAGTAGCGAGGCATCTTGACCCCAACTACACCAGCCACCACCGGGCCTGTGTGGACACCAACTCGGATCTGGGGATGAAGGGACATGCAGGACAATGTGAGATTGCAGAAGAGATGTGTAGAATAGGGTATGTGCTTGTTTTATTTATAGCGACCTGGTGATTGTTGTAATCAACACTACCAATCCTCACCACAATCATGATCACCATCACTAACGTAACTACCGTCAATCATATTTATCATCACTGTCATCATGACCACTGTCCTCATCATCGTTGTCATCATCATTACTATCACAATAACTACAGTCATTATTATTATTATCATCATCACTATCAATCATTGTCAACTTCATCACTATCTTACTACCATAATTATCATCATCAACATCACTGTCTTTCTATCATCACTGTCATACTATCACCACCACCATCATTATCAATGTCAATTATCATCACTATCATCATCATCATCATCAAATTATCATCACTATCATCATCATCAAATTATCACCACCCTTCATCATCATCATCATCACTATATTCATTATCTTCATCATCACTGTCAATCGTCATCATTATCATCATCACTATTATACTAATATCATCATCACTATCATTATCATCACTTACAATCATCATCACTATTATCATCATCATCATCACTATAATGTTAGTGAATCCAGCAGCCCTGACTGCAGCTCTATTAAAGCGTTGTACCTTTTTCTGTATTGGTTACCCGTCTTCTTATTTTGACAGTAGCCATGATAACGTCCGCTTGTACCTTTTGCTTGTACCTGCAGCTTTCTAATTCCAAATAAGAACGGATTTCTAAGGCGAGCAATGTTAAAATTGTCTTTGTTCATGTTTATCTGAATAGGATTGGCATTTTGTCTACTATCCCAAGGATCTTGGGGAAGTATACTGTCCCTTTCTTTTTCTGGAATTCATTTTGTCCCAACCGCGAACAAAATCGAGTCCTCTGGAATCTGCCACCGACATCGTAGTTCTAAGACACACTTTGACTCTTGTTCAAAGATCCTTATTTAATATTTAATTAAGAATCGATATCTTAGCACACAGGACATTTCCATAAGCGCTCCTTCGTCATCTTCAGCAGCAATCGCAGAGTTCCAATTCCACTGGTACCAATAGAAGTCTGATCGTATATTCGCCCCCCCCCCCCCGCCCCCTTTTACCTTGAGTGATGATCGGCGATCAGATCGCTGGGAACTCCTCGCAGCCCTATCCTCTTTAGATCATGATGATCCATCTGTGCTTCTGCATTTTTCACTCGCCCCTAAAGGACCCTCACAACATCTAGCTTGTTATGCATCAGTTCATCACCTCATGCACCGATTCAACACCAAGTTGTGCAGAACCAGCTAGTCTGTCTACATGTTTATGTCCTAATACACCGGCATTTCCTGGGAACAATATCCAACGGACGCTAGAACCTTGTAAGGACAGGCGAGCAGCGGGTGTGTAGTGCCGGACCTATTTTGTTGAAAAAATAATAGTTTGCAAATAGTTTGCAAATGATATGGTCAACATACCGCCTACCGCTTTTAATTCCTAAAACAGTTCCTGGAACTGGTCAACTATACAACAAATTCGTTTATTTGTTAAACTAAACAGAAGTACGGCCCCTCTGAGAATAAAACGTGTGAAATGGCTCACCTGTAGCGGGAGCCCAGTCGCCGGGGACCGAACCAGACCAGCGTCTTCGACCATGTCCAGAGCGAAGTTAGCCACAGGCTGGGCGTGGATGCGGGTCTGCTCAGGGACACCACTGACGATCATGTAGGCGTCTCCAATCGTCTCCACCTTGTGTGGGAAATACAACAGGCAACCATCACGTGATTTAAATCACCACTTATAACTGGCATCTTGCGGGCTAATAGACTGCGGTGGTTGGGGCAGATAGAGTTAAAACAGAGGTAGTCATGTCCGACCCTGTCTGGACCAGATTATTTTGTAACCGTCTTGTGTCCCTGTTTAAGGTTACAGTTCAACTGGGTTTCTGGGACTTATACCTGGGGGATTCTCACCCGAATAGTGACGTTTTGCACCCTGGGTCACCGGGTGTTATCGCTCAGGGTGCGGTCCTAGTGAGGTTCAACTTGCCTCACTTGTATAGAGAATGGCAGACAACAGAGACAGAACTGTGTACATACAATGGTTGAGTGGGAGAAAACCATGAGGCAGACCAAGAAGATGATGAAGGGATAATACAAAGGCAGACCTTTAAACATTTGAGTCACCAACTAGAAAGAGAAGGATAGTCTGAGAGAAGAACTGAAGCAAGTAATGTCTACAGCGGTGAACCTTAAGGACTTGCATTGTAGAAGAAAAGGGACCATAACAAGTTATTCATTCCTTATCCTGTTGTGACATTATGTGTCACACAGGGCTCACAGTCTATTTTTCCATTCCCTTCTATTCTGTGTGATCATTTCAATATCATGGATGGAATCCAATCCAGCAGCTTCAGCCTCTCTCATCAACGTTCGTCTTGGGGTTTCCACTGGGCGTCCTCGTCTCCTTAATCCCTTTATTTCCCATTGTGATGCCTGTTTGGTGATTCTCTGCCGGTTTCTTCTCAGGATGCGTAAAATGTAGCTCCATTTTCTGTCTTATAGCTGTGATGCAAGCGGTAGTCAAGACATTCCTCTTATTTCTTCACTCATTTTGAATTTATCCTAGTTTTTTTTTTCATAATTTTTCAGATATTTTGTTTTAGAATGCAGTTAACTTTCGTTCTATGGCTTTAGTAGTTCTCCAGCTTTCACTTGTATCTGTCAAAATTTTAATAACATTAGAATTGATAATACGTAACTTGGTTTGAAAAACTATACGATATAGATAACATGATATACAGGGGGAAAAGATGGCGATAGAAAATGTAAATCCAAACATAAAACTGCAGGTTAATTCGCAGCAGTAGGAGCAACCCAATTGTGTGTTTGGACGGGTTTCTTCTATTGACCCTTGTTTCATTCTTATCTGTGAGAGTTAATCCTACAAATTGCAGCCCTGGAGAGCAAAGGCTGCCAGTTCTGAAGATGGCGACATGCTGGGCACATCCGGAAACGAGGCGGACACAGAATCACACAACAGACACGGACACTGAAAATATACTGATCAAGAAAGCGAGGTGGTTCAATCCATAAAGACGATAGATAAAAGAGGTCATTCCACTCAGTCGAAACGTTTGCTCACAACATAACCAAACAGAGCAATCAAGTGCCAGCCCTTTGTGACCTATAAACGAAAAACGTGATAATGATGAAGGTGTATAATTAGAACCACGAAAATGTGAAGCGCTGAGCTGTTATGCGGGAGACCCGCATTCAAATCCTCTGTAAGGTAATGCGACCCCCCCCCCCCTTTTTTTTTTTTGCCCCATGAATGGATGCCTGGAAATGTTGTGTGAAGTAAAGGCGACAGTCGTGGTGTTGACCACTTCATCCACTGAGTTTCGAATGGTCTTTGCAAACAGGAGTCCAGCATTATATGCCCTATGTGCCAAAAGCGTTAAACAAGTTAACATGTTTATAAAGTAAATATAATAACTGACCGTGATCTTTGAAGCATCGGTTTATAGATTTCGGGTAGTTATCGTCTTTCGGATCTATCTCCTTGACTTTCCAGTGTTTTGGGGGGAAAACAGACAGATAGTATGGCTGGTTTCGCACTGTTTGGTGGTAAACTGATACATGGCAAGCTATATTTAGC